ACGATTCGATAACCATTCCTTTTTAGCTGATCATGTCGGATGATTGCCCTGTCAAACGGTTTGCTGATGTGGATTTTTTATGTTTCTCTTCCAGGTTTTGTGTTGAGCTAAATGGGGAAAGAAGCTTTCTTTTCATACACTTCATAATGCTCTGCTGAAATATCACCAAGATTCTCATCCACAACAATCTCTGAAGCAACAGGTTGTTCTTGAGCAAGAAGGTTAGTCACACCTATTTCATTTTCACGGTCTCCACAGATAGGATACTGATTAACTACAGTATAGTTAAAATCCTGCAACCGGGCCAAATCGCCTGTTCCTCTAACATCTGAAATCAACTCAGTTATCGAATACAAGGACTTAGTAAACCAAATATGCAAATTTCGAGCTAAATTGTCATAATTTGCTTTTGAAAACTGGGAGAATTGGTATGTTTGGTTGTTATGGAAATGAAGTGTATGTTGTAAGGTTGTAAAACATAGGAGCAAGGGTTAACACATTTGTGATATTTATGTTGTGCTTTTGTTGGTTGTACTGTGGAGTTATGTCGGTGCTTGTTCCACATTGCAGGTTATATAAAGGGGAGGTAGTGTCGGTCTGCTGCGCTGGTAACTCTATGAGGCATAGTCTCGGGAGTGTTGGTGATGGCTGCAAATGCGGCTCTTGTTGAAATGCTTGCAGATGATGCTGAAAAGCTTGTTGTGCTGATGCTTGCAGATGTTTGAAAAAGAGCAGCTTGAATTTGCTTCGCGCAGTTGGAGTAACTCTAACTACAATTCCTGATTCAGCTTGCTGAAAAGCTTGTTGAGGAACGGTTACTTGGAGAATTTATGAACCACACTAACATTCTTTTTCTTCTTTCAGGAAATGGTTGCAACTTCAGATACCGCCGGTTTGATGCCGTCGAGGGAGATTTCACATCCGGTTATGATGACTTTAATGGTCTGAACCATGAAAATGTTGTTGTTGCTTTGATGTCTACGTCGCCTAACACTCGCTCCAGAATTTCTACGAGTAGAAACCTTTGCTTGTAGTTGGTTCTGATATGATTTGGTTCATTATTTCGAACTAACAACTCAATCTTTCTTCTGTACGATATCCTGCTGTGGAGACTGCGAGGTTTTGTAAACGAGGAAGGTCCTAGCGTTGGATGCCTTTGCTGCTTGGTCTTTGTTGAGTACAAAATCAAAGCTTCGTCTGTATACCAGGTATAGAAAGGATATGGGTGGTTGTGGTTATAACTTGACTTGTTTGTGTGAAATTCGGTGTGATATGAGTTGAACATAAACACTTGGCGCTCTCGGTTACAGGTACGTGTTAGTGTCGCAGAACAGCTCCTACGGTGGTTTTGCAGACCTTTGGCACGGAAGAGGATGTGGCCATCGAGTAGTACAATGGTTCCTGCAGCATGCTTTGAGACCGTCGGTAAAGGTAAGGCTCCCTCACCAGTTTCACGAGATGCGTAAAAATCCTTTAAAACACCTACTGATTCAATGTTGTCTTTATCTTTGACAGGTCTTATGTTCTCTTTGAGCAGGAATTGGGTTGCAATAGGGGGTTTTGAAGGTGTGATTCGTCATCAACTTCGGAAAACAAAGATCTCTCACCGTTGGAATCGTCATTTGCAGAACCCTCGATAGTATTCTCAACATATATAACTTTGTCTTCTGTTATCTCCTTTATGTCTAGTGAGAACTAATTTCGAAACATAACACAGGGAAGCCCAAATCCCATGATGAAGAGGTATCCAGAACTTAGAGCAAAAGAGGAATCAAGTCATACTAGAAACAGTTTGTTGCAAAATCCCACTTAGTAGGGCCACCCTTAAAGTCTTATTGTACTTTCACTGTTGTAATACTTTAGCTTGTTGGGTTTCCGCGTGGGTGAGTTTAATGCGGCCAAATGAGAAATGAACAAGGTTGAGTTCTATTTTGTCTTTTTGTAATGAGCTTGATTTATACTACATACAGACAACTTTTATGATTTTAATTTGTATCTCATGAGTGAAACTACTCTCTTGAGAAGGATTTAAAATAATAGAAAAATGAGATGTGTCCTTGTAGCTCGTGGCAATGGTTGGTCAATGAATAAACACAAATTGAAATCCTGGAGCTATGAAGTGCTGCACATAGATATATCTACTTAAAACTGTCCTTGCTTTTGTGAAAATATCTCTCTTTTTAGAAATTGGATTAAATGGTGAAATAAAAACGTTTGAAAATCCATGGTTAATCTTGCCACGACTCCTTCTATGAATTCTCAACTCATACTTGGAGTTGCACTTGAATTTACTTCCGACCTTGTATATCAGCCCATAAGCACCTTTGGTCCTGCCTTGTAGAGAACTAGTGATTCCTGAATCACTTAGAACCAACAAGCCTAATGAGAAATTGGATCCCCGCCCTCCAGCGCAATGCACCTCTTCAATCAATCAGAGCTCAGTCTTTTATAGCATGGATCTAAATATCATTGCAATAACTTGGAATGCCATGAAACTCGATGCAAAAAATTCATCTTTGCTTTCTTTAGACTGGAATCCAGTGGCCTTGTAGAACTTGCAAAGAAAAACCTTTATGGAAATGTGATTTGGACATCCAGGTGTTGGAAGGATCCTGGTTGTATCATCAGGCCAAAGCTTGCAACTTTGAACTCGAACTCTTGAATAATTAATGCTTCCTGCGCTTTGTTTTTGTAACCGTGAATCATTCTTGACAATGGCAATGCTCCCCATTCACACTTGTCATACCTACATGAACTGGTTAGTCGCAATAAACATAAATACGAAGTATAAAGCCAAATAACGCAAGAAATGCACACAAGGAGGTGGGATCTTAAAGTCAAAAATTAGGGTGTGACAGTAATATTTCAAACATTGTCATTTTTTTCTGAAAGGTATCTTCTGGTTACAAATATCCAAATTTTTCAAGAATAGAATCACCTCTTTCAATAACAATTTCCTGTATGATTTTCAAAATAGTTGAAAACTTTTCCACATAACTTTTATATTGAATAAAAAAGTTCTTGAGCACTTAGAGTAAATAAATCTAATTTGTTATATTGTAAGGGAAGAAATTTGTTGAAATTTTGTCGTGTATCAAAACTCACTAGTACTTAAAATTATATTCAACAACTTTGTAATGTTGCTTGTTTATCAAGTTTGTGAAAACAAATGTGTTAGGGAGAAAGTAGGTTCATTCTCTTTGTGTTGTAAAATCAGAAGGTGGTGTGACTTTTTTATTGTGTTAGAGATTTGAAAGAAGTCTTATGGTGAAACTATATAATTTCTAACATAGTGAAATCTCTCATGGGTGTGATGGGTCTGGAGTACTCTTGTTTGAGAAGAGGAGTCAGGATATATTGTTGTGTTCTTTATTTTTTGCATTTAAAATTCTACATTTTACTTCATATGTTCATCGAAATATTTCCAGAAAAATAAGAACAGGAGAATCATCCTTTAAAAATGTAAAATTCGCTAACCCGATTTTTGGCATCAGTTCAAGTTAAGGTACCTTGTTCCTTGATCCATAAATATGACTTTCGCTAACCCGATTTTTAGATATAGTGGTAGTAACATTAAACTCTCATGCTTTGTTGGTGAACACTATGATTTTTGGAAGATTTGCATGCAAACCTATTTCGAAGCACAAGAAGAAGATATATGGGATATTGTTGAAAATGGTCCACATGTTCCTAAAACGGTTATTAATGAAGTAAAACATGTCAAAGTAAAAGGCTCTTGGACAAATGATGACAAGAAGAAAGTTTTATTTGGTAGAAAGGCTAAGAACATGATCCAATCGGTCGTAGGTGTGGATGAATTTTTTTCGAATATTTCATTGTAAAACAACAAAAAAATATTTAGGACACTTTAGAAGTGACTCGTGAAGGTGTTGTAGAGGTAAAAAAAAAATCTAAACTCAATACTTTATCACAAGAATATGAAATATTTAGAATGCAACGCGGAGAATATATTCTTAATTTTTAAAGGTGATTTGCTCACTTAACAAATCACTTGATGGTTGTTGAAAAGACCTTTATAAATCATGAATTAAATTTCAAAGTCCTTAGATCATTGACAAAGGAATGAAAACCAAAGGTGACGACAATTTTGTAAAAGAAAAGTATCTCCAACATATCTTTTGTATCATTGTTCGGTAAACTTCAAGAACATGAGATCAAACTTGAAAGATTAGGAAATCATGAAGAACAAGAGAAGAGACCAAAGAGAATTTCCTTTAAGAGTTGAATAAAGGGAGCAAAAGGAAGAGAGGTTATGGGAGAAGATGAGAATAAAGGGAGTTGCCAAACAGTGTGTTGGACGTTGTGGAAAACGAAAAATAAAATACTATCATCTTTGAGAAAGGGAAGGGAGATTGGATGGGATAGAAAAATAAAAACCATAATTTTAATGTCTAGAAAATAGTTATTGACCAAATTTAGTGGCAGGATTATTCTAGAATCTAACGTCTGGCAAAACAATCCGTCAGCTTATTTAGTTAGACAATGATTTCTTCCTTCCTAACTTGTTTTTTCTTTTTCTCTTTTGGTGAATCATTGTGTATAAGGGTTGGACACCTCTTATGCTCAGTTTTAATATAATACTTCGATTGTAAAAATAAATAAAGAATGTCTAGAAAGTATCCAAGAAAATATTACCGACACGTAGAATAGATGACAAATTAATCTGTCCGTTTTTTAGCTGAGACAATTTGTCGGTGTTTTATGTCATAGAGGAGTATCTTTTACTTCGATGAATTCTCGACGTACAATTCAACGCGCATTGTTGAAACTTTGACAAGTAAAACACCAACTTTTATGCTTTTAAAATCAGAAATCACCGAAACACAGCATATATTTAATCAAAGCATGAAATGTCATGCCAATGTTTAACATACATTTTCCATCATATAATATACAACTAAATAATCAAGTACGTTAATGCATGGTCACTACTAACTCATATGCCAATGCCAATGGCTTTTTTTTTTCTCCAAACATCCTCAGATTCTACAATTATCATGACCTGCAAAATAAGACATCCTCAAATGTTATTCATATTGTTAAAGAACGAACATAAAAAAAGACTAGGACATTGATTGATTATTATACTCACTTGGATTAACAGAAGTGATAACACCGGAGTGCGAGAAGTCGCAATTGAAATCATGTTTCCCGTTAGCCTGATAGTAAGCATTCATTGCATAAGTGGCAAGCGCCTTAACATCGTTGACAGCATAGCAAACTCCTCCCGGTTGGATCGGCCTGCAGTCAATTCCTTGGCTGCAAACATAGTTTATATTCGCTTGTAACGCTCCGGCACTCGCATCCGCCTTTGGCACGCACCATTTCTGCCCTCCAACAATCGGACGTGGCGTTGGCGTTTGTCCTCCTCCTTGTCCCGGTCTCTGCATTGTTCATTCAAAATCAAAACAGTCTTAACAACATTACGCAAGATTCCAGCATCATAAACAAAAGAGAAAAAAGAACAAAACCTGTCCGTTACGCAAGATTCCAGCATCGTAAACCGGAGAGAAATCAGGTTGAAAGAGTCCCCAATTACGTTCAGCAATAGGACCAGGTTTCTGATTCTCGTTAAACAAAGCAAAAATAAAAGCCTCAAACCGTCTATTCGGCATCAACGGTGTCCCTTTCCCTTCCGCCAAATGCCTAACCAACTGACCATTATAACTCTGAGCATTAGCCACACTGCAAGCATCCCAACCATCACAAACAGAAGGCCAACCCGTTTCACCAATAGCAATATCAACATCACCATACCCAAGAGCCTTCATGGCCGAATGAACTGCGTCCATTAACACGTCGAATTGGTTTGTGTATAGTAGTTTCGTGTTCCTGTCGAATAAGCCACGGCTTGGTCGGAACAATGCGAAGTTGGCGTTTTTCGGATTGTAACCGAAATATGGATATGGGTTTACCATAAACGGTGTTTTTGTTTGTCTTAGGAACTTCAACATTGGTCCTAGAAAGTATTTTGCGTATCCTGGTCTGAACTGCCCTGCACTTGGTGGTATTGATTGTCGCAATATTGCTAACGAATGTGCTGTAGTCACCTGAAAATTTGTATAAAAAAAAAAATTCATCTAAATATTTCATAATTCCTAATCCAGATTTTTTTCACAAATATGCAATTACAATTTCAATCATCATCTATGTATATCTAATTATCCAAAAGAGAAGACATAATTTTAATTTTAATCTAATATACTTTTTTATTTATTTTTCTCAAATCATGAGTTTTTTTTTTTTTTTCAAGTAGATAATTAAAATGTTGTATGTTCAAATCCGCCGCCCAATAACGGAACCAAATCATAAGATAGGCTATAGTTCTAAATAGATATTTTAATTTTAATTTTATGATGTAAGTTGCTAAACCGTCCAATTTTGATCTAACGGTCATTAATGTCATGAATGTGTGATTGCGTGTTTTTTGAACGAAGAAACGTGGTCCCTCATTTTCATTACTCTCTTTTTCTTACATACACTTCATTAAATTTTGAAGCTATCTATATCCCAAAATGTGCCGTTTTCTTAGATTTTTTTTCTTGATTAATCTATTCATTCATCTTTATGTTAATAATAAAAATGTGTTATATATAAGAAGTTAAAGTTGATAATAATAGATATGATTTACCTTAATGTCGGTAATACCCTCAGCAAGAAGAGCGGCATGAAGCGTTCTCATAGCAGGAACAAGGTTCCGAACCATAGCACTATCACCCCAATGAAGAACTTCACTTCCGACAAGAATATAATCAATCTTTGTCTGAGGATGAAAAGGTTTTATATGCGTAACAACCCATTGCCGAGCCGAATCAATCTTTGCCAACGCCGCGATATCACCGTTGGGCGCCGTCACGGTGACGGAGATCCCGGTGTTCGCGAAAGCCTGGAGGATCTGAGGACTAACGTCGAAGATCTTGACACGGTCGATGATTGTGTTTGTTTTTAGAAAGTTTGCTACGGTTGCGGGAGGTGGGAGGTTGTCTCCGAGGGTGCCGTAGTTGACGCCGATGGATGTGACGGTGGCGGCGAGGTGGAAGAGGAGGAGGAGGAGGAGGAGAGGGGAAGGTGAAAGGGTGGAGGTGGCCATTGGTTTTTGGAACATAGTTTGTGTTAGAAAGGAAAGTGGGAGAGAGATATAAACGGTCTTATCTTACGTTTGTGTTTATTTATAGGTGGATGGAAGACAAATAATACACGTTTGAGGGGTTTTTGAGTTGGGAACAGTTGGACTTTTTTTAGATTTTGGTCAAAATTAGACATGTTTGTTACTATAAAATTATAAATAATTAGTTTGCTTTGTTGTTTGTTATGGTACGTTGGGGTATTTTTAGTTGACAATAGGTGGACTTTTTTATTTAGTATTTTAAATATTTAAAATAAAAATATTAATTTATAAATATTAGGTTAAATTATAAATTTGGTCCATTTCTCATATTTTTTCATTAAAAAAATTGATAAAATGTCCATTTTTTAATTTAGATTTTTATCTACAAACTTTTAAAATATATTTATATACGATAAAACTATTTAAATTTAAAATAGAGAGATCAATTTTATAAATCACGTAAAATAAAAGATAAAACTGTAAATATAAATATATATTCTTAATATTTTGAATATTTTTTAAATTAAACTAAATTTAAGTTTATATATGAAATAAATTTGACGGCATGTATTTATAATTTTAATATTTATTATTTAGTATTAATATTACAGAAATATTTGTATGTTTTATTGATCATCTATTTTTTTCTTTTATTTTTAATATTACTTATTACTTTTTAATTGATTATCTTAAATGATTCTCTTCTTCTATATTTTATTCTTTTTAAATAAATATTGTTTCTTTTTCTTTTTATAAAGTTGATTGACATTTTGTGGTTTTGAAGATTGTTCATGTTTTCTTAGTTGGACAGAATATTATTGGGTTAGTAAAGGTTATCACTTTAAAAACATTTGAGTTGTTAATTGTATTTGAGATCAACGGTCTTTAGAAGACATTTTTGTTTTTGAGATGTTTGTTTTATATTTAAAAAGTAAAAAAGTAATTTAAAATGTAAAACTAATTTTCACATAAATTTTTTGTTTTGTTGTTGATAAAATGCTTGTATTTGGTTTTGAAATAAATGATGCCAGTTATTTAAAACGAACAAAATACCATTGTGTTTTGCATGTGATAATGATGAGAAAAGATGCCATCACAATGTCTTCTAGTACTAAAATATTTGGTGACGTCTTGAGAGGTTAAAATAAGTACTTTTGGTAACAATAGAAGATGTAAACAAGATTAGTGATGGATATAGCTATAGAATAAAATTACCTTTATTTGAGAAGAATATACATTTAAAAAAGCAAAATATATTTCAGTGCAATTTTAAGAAAGATTAATCCCTTGATAAAAATTAAATTCATTTAAAAATTGGCATCTTGTAATATATGTGTTTCCATACATATTGATTAGAAATTATATTTTTCACTAAATGGTTAGGAAAAAACTCACATCATTACCTGTATATTATCTATAATTCATATTTTATATTATTAAAATACATTTAATACTCGAGAAAAAAAGTATATAAAACAATATTAAATCCACAATAAATTTAAATAAGAAAAGTGATTGATAGGAATTGAGAGATAAAATTCAAAATTGAAAATAAAAATTATATTTGTGAGTTTAGTTCTGGTTAGATTGTAATTCATTTTCAATTTTATTTAGGTATAATTTAGATTGCATTTGAATTTCATTTAGTTTTGACGTGTGTATATAAGTTAAAGCTTTGTTTAAGTTTGACAGAGATTATTCATTCAGTGTAATTGTTTTTATTCAATAGAAAAGTTAGTTACAACTCTTTTCTCTCTTCCATCTTCGTCATTTTCATCTTCTTTTTTTTTGTGCACCAACAATTGGTATTTAGAGCTCAAGTTTGGATCCACGAAAAACACCAAGGGAAACACGAGTGAACGTGAGGCGTGTGTGATTGATTTCGGTTATGAAATTCATAGTGAATTGAAGTTTGAAATTGTAACAGAATCACATTTCTTGATTATAAGAGATTGGAAAACACAAGTGTTTTGTGAGATTTTAGTGAATTCTTGCACAAGATTGAAGATGAACAGTGAAAATGGTAGCTTGAACACAAAGTTTATAGTCTTTGATGGAAAGAATTAGAATCGGTGGATGATTCAGATGTGTGTGTTGTTTGGCGCTCAAGATATTCTTGATCTCGTCATTGACGATTACGCGGTAGATGCAACTGAAACACAAAGGAACATGTATAGAAAGATGAGGAACAATGATCATAAAGATATGTTCTACATTCATCAATGTGTGAATGCCAATGTGTTTGAGAAGATCGTTGATTCAATGACGGCGAAGGATGTGTGAGACATAGTGGTACAATGCTACAACGGTGATGCATCAATGAAGAAGGTGAAGTTTCAGTCTTTACGTAAGCAATATGAGAATCTCAACATGAAGAACTATTATAAGGTACCTGATTACATCTCCATAGTGATTTTGATCACAAATGAGATAAAATCTTAGATTTCATGATTTTAGCACTTTTCATATTTTGTACCATAAGTTGTTTCATTGTTTTAGAAATGGTCAAGTATGTAAATGTTGTCAATAGGCACTTATAATGGTGTCGGTACCAAATAATAACACGTGTATGATAATATTCTAGATATATATTATATAGGGCTTTACAATCTGTCAGATGCTAAGAGAAGGAAGTTGGATGACAGATGCATAGTCATGTTGCTTGTAGGGTACCACAGTACATATGCATATAAGCTCTACTGCCCTATCATTAATAAAGTTGAAATCATCATAAATGTCATTGTGAAAGAATCGAAAGCGTGGAATTGGAACAAGTTTCAATCCAACTCTGGTGCAGTGTTAACACCTGAGCTAACTTCTGAAGATATTTCAGATTCTAAACGAGAATCTTCCTCTAAAAGAGATTTTACTTCAAAAGATGAGTCTGAGTCTGAAGGTGACTTTGATGTTGAAGACGAGTCTGACTCTAAAGGTGAACCTGATTCTGATATTGATTCTGATGATGATCCAGAATCTAGTGGTAATCATGCCTCTGAAAGTGGTCATGCCTCTAAAGTTGGACCAGACTTGAAAGGTAGTCCATCATCTGATATTATTCCAACATCTCAAGAAGATTCTGAACAAGTTCATAGACCATAAAGAATCAGACAAATACCACAGAGATTTACAGAGTTTGACATGTTGCAAGATACTGAGATAGACTTTGAAGGGGAAGTCATTCAGTGTGTCATGTTGGTAGACTTTGAACCAGTAAGTACTGAAGAAGCTCTCAAGAAGAAAGTGTGACTGAAGGCCAAAAAAGAAGAACTTGAGGCTATAGAAAGACACATGACTTAGGAGTTGGCTGAGCTTCCAAGGAACAAGAAATTCATCAGTGTGAGATGGGTTTACAATGTGAAACTAAATCCAGATGGATCAATTGGCAAACATAGCAACATTAGTAGCAAGAGGATTTCTACAGAAATCTGGTTTAGGCTACTTTGAAGTGTTTACACCTGTATGGACGGAAACAAGCTCATAGAGCCTAGATTTTGAAAATTGATTCATTTTTCAAGCTTCAAGGATTCAGAAAATGTGAGATGGAGTACGGCGTTTATGTTTAACATACATCTGATAACAATATGATTTTGGGGTGTCTTTATGTTGATAACATATTGCTAACAAAAAGTTGTTTAAAAAAGATAGTTAAGTCCAAGAAGGTTCTAATGAATGAGTTTGAGATGACTGGTCTAGGAAATATGATATATTTTTTAGAGACGGAGATTTTGTACTCTGATAAGGGTATAATCTTGCATCAGCTGAAGTATGAACTTAAGCTTCTAAAGAGATTTGAGCTAATGAATTATAAATCTGCAATCACACCTACTAAAACAAATCTCAAGCTATATTCTGATGTTGAGGGTGATTATGTAGATGCTACAACTTTTAAACAGTTGGTAAGGTCATTAAGATATTTGTATAATACCATACCTAATATTTTATATGCAGTTGAAATGGTGAGTAGGTTTATGAACAAACCAAAGTGGTTACATTACCAAGTTGTTGTCAAGATACTGAGGTATATTAAAGGGACTCTAAGGTATGGAGTTTTGTTTTCCTCTGATGTTAAATGTAATTCAGAGCTGATGTGTTATTCAAACTCTGATTGATGTGGAAACAGAGTTGACAGAAGAAGTACTTCTAGATATTTCTTCTAGATATTTCTTCAAGTATCTAGGAGGTCCTATTTTTTGATGCTCCAAGAAGCAACCATTTGTTGTATTATCAACATGTGAAGCTAAGTACATTGCAGGTGCTTTGTCTTCTTGTCAAGCTATGTGGATTTTGAATTTGTTGCAGAATCTGAAGATCAAGGTGAGCAAGCCTGTGAAGTTGATGATTGACAACAAATCACCTATAAGTCTTGTCAAGAATCCAGTGCTGCATAGAAGGAGTAAACACATTGACACAAATTTCTATTTTCTGAGAAACCAGGTTCATAATGAAGTGCTTAAAGTTGTACACTGTAACACTCAGAAGCAGCTGACAGATGTGTTGACTAAGACTCTCAAGACCGAACACTTTATCCATTTGAGGGATGAAATTGGTGTTGTTGACTTTGATCATTAGAATATGAATTAATGGATGTTGTTATATTATAATTTATTTTCAGTTTCATTTAGGTGTAATTTATCTTGCATTTGAATTTCATTTAGATTGGACATGTGTATATAAGCTAAAGTTTGGTTTAAGTTTGTTAGAGATTATTCATTAAGTGTAATCTCTCTTCCATCTTCATCTTTTTCCTTTTTGTGCACCAACAGTTCTTTAACATGTGAATGATTAATTGAAGTAGATTGTGTTTCGAACTACGATAAAAAAAATTTGGTAGAGATTGAATGAAAACAAGTTCTGATGCATTGGAGTGAGTTTTTAGGGTGGCGAAGCCAAGATGACCCTACAAGATTAGCATTACCAATGCACAACTCAATGAATGGGTGAGAAAGTGGTATGACTGCGTGCATGAGAAAATATTTGAAATG